CAGTTTATCAAGAACATTCTCAGTTTTACAAGGTCTGTTTTGACTGATTAATTCCAGAATGAAATAATGCATGGAATCAGAACAGAATGAAACAATGCATGGATAGTGTGTAGCATTGCAATGTTGAGCAGTTGCGTTCACATACTTGCAATAGTCTGTTTTGGCCTAAATGTAAATTTATGTAAAAAATGTGTATATATATATATATATATATATATACATATTATTTGCAGTCTGTTCTGTCCAATATTAGAATAAACTGAATAAAACAAAATAGTTATGTACTACTATAAATTTTGTTAAGATTCTCCAATTCACTTTTGTTTTTATATTTTCAGTTTTTATTTTAATTTTAGTTTCATTTTTAAATAATTTTGTCATATACTTTGTGATTTTTATTTGTATTTTCAAAAATTGTTTTGGTTTATTTTTTTATTTCCACTTAATATTAGTGCTTTTCTAATTTGTTTAGTTATAAGTTTCGCATTTAATAGATTTTATTTCTTTTATTTCAGCTTTACTTCAATTACCAAAAACATCAGCATTAGTTTTAATAACAATATAGTGATCATCATGATCATCATTACATTCATTCTCATAATTAAGTGAGTGACATTTTTTACATTCAAATGTATCTTTTTTTTTTTTAAAGTTAAGCTTCTATTACAATATTCTCTTTTTTTATGTTTACACTTATATATATACACTTGTATAACTCAAATGTTCTTTGATTGGGATCAGTTTTAAACAGATAAAAGCTATAAATAAGATGGTGTATTGCAATAAAATTAAGGCATTCAACTTCAAAACATTTTGAATATATATTTTTTTATTACATAATTACAATTTATAAATCACACAAAGGCACACCAATACTACCAAAATTTACTCTAAATAAATAAAAAATGTAGCACTTTAGGGTTAACTACACTCTCAGAAAAAAGGTACAAAAGCTGTCACTGGGGCGGTACCTTTTCAAAAAGTGCACTTTTGTACCTTTTAGGTACTAATATGTACACTTTAGGCACTAATATGTACTTTTAAGGTACCAATAAGGGCTCTTTAGGTACAAAGGTGTGCCTTTTGAAAAGGTACCGCCCCAGTGACAACTTTTGTACCTTTTTTTCTGAGAGTGTATAAATTTCTATTGGCATTTTGCAAGGCTGTAAATATTTAGTAATGGTGGCTAATAGTTTAAAAAAAAAATCATCTTCCACATGAAATAAAAAGATAACATGTACACATTTTCTCTGTCTCACCCTTAAGCGGTGGCGGTCCTCGGGGCAGTAACATGAAGGGCTCGAACTCCTCCACTTTCCCCTCCTGTTGATTGGAGCTGACTTTGGCTCCTGCGGTGCGTCCGCGGTGGGACACGCGTTTAGGGCGCGCGGCGGCCGGTGGGGCAGCAGGGGTCGGGTTCTCTCGAGCCTCTTGATCAGCCATGGCAGGTACTGGTGCGGTGACCACTTAAACTGCTGCGCTTCAGGCGCTAAACTCAGAAACAACACACAGACATCATGATGCACACATCACACATACAGCCTATCATGATAAAGAGTCTTGTTTTGTTTACACATGCCTGCATTTTTATAAATTGGCTGCTACACAGGAATCTGTTTTGCATTGAGGATGTAGCGTTGAAGACAAACTCAAAGCATGTGCTGAAGCACAGTTTTATTGCAGGATGTTGCCTTTCTTCTGTTAATTTATTGCTGCTTGAAGAGTCCAATGTGGAAACGTACGCTATTCTGTCCTTGTCATTCTTAGCATCTAAATGAGTTTTGTCTTCTTTATTTTCAAATCCATAAATTTGTGAAACTATTAAACTTGTTGAAATGACTAATTAAAAAAAAAAATCAAATTATAAAACCAGAATGATTGTGTGTGTGTGTGTGTGTGTGTGAACACAAACATGTGGGAATAATGTGAGTTTTTACACAACACCTCTTTGGATATCTCAATACTCCAGGAGGAGATCAAAATAAAATCCAGGCAAAATGTCCTTCCAATAGCATTTCCTGGCATTTAAATGTGGAAAACTTATTTTTATGATAGGCTACACAATGCCTGCTTTTACACTGGCAAAATGTGTCACCGCAGACACACAAACACCTGTGTGATGGATTACATAAGGGGCGTCTCCTTGAATGAGGTGTGAAGTTTGAGGAGATGTTTGGCCCACTGGAGCAGCGAGTAACTTCAGGAACACAGTGAGGTCTCTGTTCACATTTAAAGCACTTAAATACTCTGCTGATCTCACTTTTCCACACTTAACCACTGGCGAGGTGAACTAGATGGAAAAATATATGGCTGCCGATGATTTAAAAAAAAATGTCTATTAAGATTTTGTTTTCTGCGGTTACCACATCTATATAAAACAGATGGTGGCACATATTAAAATAGTTAGGTTTGGAAACTACACAGAAAATTGGCTCTGCATGTAAACACTCACAGACTTAACAAACATGCATTTGCAAACACAAACACACAAATCTGCACTAAAAACCCAAATATAAATACACCAATCACTTAAAATAACTGCAACATTCAAACACTTACACATTATCTTTATAAACAATAACTTGTCCTTTGCAATTATCAGATCCCCCTTAACAAATTTTGGTGAAGAGCATATATATTCACAAAATGTTAGTTGAAGGTAACTGGATAATTGCAAATATACATTAACGTTTAAAAAATGTTCTTCACAAGGAAATTAATACTTCTATTCAATAAGTGTGCATTAAATTGATCCAAAGACATTTGTAATGCTCCAAAAGATTTCCATTTCAAATAAAAATTCAAACAATTATGAAAATAAAATGTATTACAGTTTCCACAAAAATATGAAGCAGCACAACTGTTTTCAACATTGATAATTAAAGGAAATGTTTCTTGAGCAGCAAATCAACATATTAGAATGATTTCTGAAGGATCATGTGACACTGAAGACTGGAGTAATGATGCTGAAACTTCAGCTTTGCATCACAGAAATAAATTGCATTTTGACAAATCTCCAAATAGAAAACAGTTATTTTCAATTGCAATAATATTTCACAATATTTCTGTATTTTTGATAAAATAAATGCTGCCTTGGTGAGCACTTAAACGTTTAAACAATAGTTGAGAATTTCCATCTTCCAGTGTGATCTGTATATTATTAAACATGTTAAGGTGCACTAACCTGGTTATTTTGAGATAGAAAGGTGGCACTGGTGTGCAGACACTGGAACCTGGAGTCTGGGAGAACGTCAGGACAGTTTCTGCCTTCATTTATATATAGGGCTGGAATAACAGTGTGTGTGTGAGAGCAGCATCACACATCATGGTGGGCGTGTCCATGTATGCAGATTAGCACTATAAAAGCAAAGGGTGTGTATGTGTGATATTAGAGTGGAAGTGCAAACTACCACGTTTGTGTGGCTTGTGGTGAACAGAAATGTGGCCGAATAAAGACACAAGTGTGGAATGTGTCATGTCCTTCTCTACGCCCTGGGCAGAGAAGATTTAAAGGAATAGTTCACCCAAAAATTAAAATTAGCTGAAAATGTACTCACACTCAGACCATCGAAGATGTAAATGAGTTTGTTTCTTGTTTCATAACTTGCTCAGCAATGGATGCTCTGCAGTGAATGGGTGCCGTCAGAATGTGAGTCCAAACAGCTGATAAAAACATCACAATAATCCACAAGTAATCCACACCACTCCAGTCCATCAGTTAACATCTTGTGAAGCCAGAAGTTGCATGTTTGTAAGAAACAAATCCATCATTTAGACATTTTAACTTTAAACCTTTGCTTCTGGCCTAAATATGAGTCCATAATCCATAACACTTAACTGATTAATGGATTGTTTACTTTACTTTGTGTACAGCTCTTAAAACTGTTATATGCATAAAGGCACTGATTCAAAACATGCTATATGTGGGATGCAAACATCAAGGTTTCTTTGTTTTTACAAAGCTTGCATAGAGCAAAACAGTAACTTTCGGAATTTAATTATGACTGAAATCGGCTCTGGCCTGTGACGGACGGTTGTGGCTCCATATAAACTGCAATCAAATCAGTCAAATTCACTCAAATCATCATTCACTCGAATAACACTTGAGCTACTTTTTCCTCAATTCCAGTGCTGACAGATTCTACATATTGCATTTGTAAGGCAGAATAAGTAGATATATAGTTTATTACAGTGAAAATGTCCCACTATTTAAAAATTAAAACTGTCCCAGTAAACATCCTTACAACAAGAGGAAAAAGATGTTGCATAAGATATAAATTTATCTTAAATGCATTTAGTCTTGTTCCACTCTTAAATGACTATTTATTGCATGGCATTATAGATCTTCTGGCCAGTTTGTGTCATTGCTTCAGGCGTTCTATATGGAAATAAGTTGTTTTGCCAAAGTTTCTGAGGGGAAACATGATGTTCGGACCCCTTCGGATGCTTTGGGAGAGTATGAGTCACAGGCATGAGCTCACCTTTAGATTGAGCATAAGCACTGGAGAACAGACAACTTTCTTTCACCATGAACTTTAACGCAGAAGATGTAATGCCTTGGTACAATATGAGAGCTTGTCAAAGCAGATTAACAAGCAAATCAAATATAGTTGCATAATACAGGTTGGACACAGTCTACAGCTTATAAATGGGCTTTTCATGAATGATTGGCCAGCCAACATGCCTGACCTGAAGCCCATATGGAATCTGGGATATTTTCAAGAGAAAGATGAGAAACAGTGGATCCAAGCTGAAGCTCAATAGTGCCTCAGCAGAGCCACAGGCTGATCGCTTCCATGCCACACCTCACTGATGCTGGAGTTTGTGCTAAAGGAGCCCCAGCCAAGTATTGAGGGCATAAATGAACATACATTAAAGAACGTGAACTTGTTTTGCAAATCCTTTTTTGATTGATCTTAGGAAATATTCTTAATATTTTGAGATACTGGATTTTTGACTTTCATGAGCTGTAAGCTTAAAATGTTTTACTTTACATGTAATGAATCTAGAATATATGAAAGTTTCACTTTCTGAAATAAGTTACAAAAAAAGAACTTTTTCACGATATTCTAATTTTTTAAATGCACCTGTATATACAGTATATATATGTGTGTGTTTCTTTATCTGATTAAGAAACTCCCCTGATGCATTTGACAGAAATAAACATTCCTGAGCATCAAATAATACTTCAAAACAAAGCATCATGACATTTGAAGTTAATGCACATATGACATGAGCAACACTGACCACAAGGCTCCTCTTTGATTTCCGCCATACCCATGCAAGCAGTAGATGGTGCTTCCTGTGCGAACCACAGGTTAGTCACGTGATCAAGCTTCCACGTTCAGCACTTTGTTCCGCTCTACTGTTGTTCCATGCATCGGTAGGAAGTCAGTCGCTTACGTTTAAAAGTTATTGAGGTGTAAAACAATGTTGATGCCAAAAATATAGCTCAAAAAGAAGAACCAAGGAAGACAAAGACAGACAGACAAAGATGGAAATGCAGAGAGAGGATCCCTCATTCTTGGGTGCGATAAGTATGATCATGATTGAAGTAGATGTTTACATATATGGACATGCACACAAATGTGGAAACATGTCTGAATGTCATTGCATTAGACAAAATATCAAAGCAAGTGTTTGTATCTGCATATCTAAAATGTTGTAGGACCTGTTTCTTCACTAACAATAAACCAACACAAAATATCACAATACTGTCCTCATTTTCAACACTACTCTTGTTTCAGCATTTCATACCAGACAAATAGCTTTTGTCAAATGTTTTGCTTTTAATGTGTGTTTGTGCTATCATTCTTGAAATTAATGACACTCGCTTTGAAATTTTGTTATACAATGCAATAAAATTCAGATATTTTTCAGTATACTTTAGGTCTGTACATACCTTTTGGGGCCAATTTGGAGTAATTCAGGCCTTGTCTCACTAAAAAGACAGTGACATTAACAAAGAGTGAAAAATTTAAGGGGGTCTGAATACTTTCCGTACCCACTGTATGTTCTTCACAGAAAATGAGCCACAGCCAATGAGTCGGAGTTTAAAAAAAAGAATTAATACATGTCTATATTTATATTCATATAATTTATATTTAAAAAATATATATTTAATATATAAACATAACATTCTTCTGAAATGTATACATGCATGTGTGTGTATTTATATATACATAATAAATATACACAGCATACACACACATATTATGTAAACAAAAACTTTTATTTTGGATGCGATTAATCGCGATTAATCATTTGACAGCACTAAATTAATCATATCGCTTTTCTTTTGGTAAAAAGTGAAAACGTGTCCAATGCACAGACCCAAACACCATACAAGGGTTAAGAAACATTTCTGATTATTATCAATGTTGAAAACAGTTGTGCTGCTTCATATTATTGTGGAAACAGTGATACCTTTTTTCAGGATTCTTTGATGAATTGAATACGTTCATTTTATTTGAAATATCTTCATTCTTCATTCTCACTTTTCATCAATTTAATCAATGCATCCTTGGTGAATAAAAGTATTCATTTCTTCTGAATGGTAGTGTATCCATGCATTAAAACCAAACATTATCTTTCTCTCACAGACAAGAGGCCGCAGGCAGTTGAGGCCAATGGAGGAAGTCTGAGTCACCCGCCGTCGTCTCTTCCTGAACTTCGCTTGGTTTTACTAGGCCGCAAAGGTGCTGGGAAAAGCTCAGCGGGAAACACCATCCTAGGCCTGGCGGGAGGGTTTGAGACAGGCAAACCGACCGAGGAGTGCGTGAAGAGGCGAGCCGACGTGGAAGGAAGGCGTGTTACGGTTGTGGATACCCCAGGCTGGGAATGGTACTATTCAGTGAACGGGACTCCTGGTTGGGTGAGGAGAGAAACAAAGCGAAGCATGTCCTTGTGTCCACCAGGTCCCCACGCTGTGCTTCTAGTGGTGCGATCCTGTACCTCAGTGACAGCCGACTACCATCGGCAGATCGAGGAGCATCTGGAACTGCTGGGCAAAGCGGTGTGGGATCACACGCTGGTGCTGTTCACACGAGGGGACGAACTGGGCTCCCTTTCCATCGAACAGAGGATTCGAAACGGCGGCAAGGCCTTCCAGACGCTCCTGGAACGGTGCGGGAACAGGTTCCACGTTTTGGAGAACAAGCGGCGTGTTGATGATGGATCACAGGTGAGGGAACTGATGAGGAAGATGGATAAGCTGGTGGAAGAGAGAAGAGGGAGGTATTATGAGACGGATCTGCTGCTTCTGGAGCTGGAGGTGGAGAGCAAACGCAGGGCTCGAGAGAGGAGGAAGAAACAGAGGCTTATGGAGGCGCAGACGCACAGAGGAACCATCAGAGCCACACTGATGAGTGAGTAGACTGTGAAAAGTGCTGTTCTTCCTTAATATTTTTACTAATTATCATGACCATTCTTATGCAAGGTCTTGCACCATTCAGATGAATGCATTTACTAACATTAAAATAACAGTCTCAAGTCAAAATCACTCGGACAGAGGATTAAAGTTCAATCAAGATACTTTTACTTGAGAAGCGAAATGACATAAGCTTTTAAGCCTAAAATTGATTAAAATTAACTCAATTTATGCTTAAAACAAGAAAACATAGCTGCCAGTGGGGTAACAACTTCATTTTTCAACAATGCCATGTGTCTTGATTCAAGGATGTTTATATAATTGTACTGGAAAATAAGACAAGAGCATGTTTTTAAAATTCATTCAATGCAACACAGACAGTCTTGTATTTGTAAGTATTGTGTAAATGTATTTGCAGAAGTCAGAACTATTTTCTAACTGTGAGTTTCAGGTTCTTGCATAAATGTTTCTCTAGAAAGGACACTGAACAATAGGACAATGTTCCAACTTCCTACACTTCTGACAGCATTTTAGATGTTTGTGATTACTGGATAAAGATTTTTTTTTTTATATAATTTTGATTAATTCTAATTCCATAATTAACTATTCTGATTACATTCAATTTCCAAAATAGTTTGTTAAAAATGAACCAGTTCCTTTGTATTGGTTCTAAGAATGATTCACTCACAAAAGAATGATTCACTTAAACACTGATGAAATATTTTAGAGCAGAGCATAGCTACAAAAATGTATATTCACTTTAAACATTTTCATGACTTTTCCAGCCTGTGTAAACAAAATTTTAACATTGCCTAATCATGAGAATCCTGGTGGAAGTTCTGCACAATGCTAGATTTTTGTGTGTTACATAGAGAATTGTGTGTTGTGTTTTGCAAAAAGTGTTTTATGAAATTGAAAAC